AACAAAAAATTAATCTTATTCTTAATTGCATTTTTCCTTATGTAAGGTTGCCCTGCCAATGTGTAACACTTGGCAACATTTTACATTTGGCTCATACAAGTGCAGCTGAATCTAGTTTGCAGAGTGGTGCAGAATTCTACCGCAGGAGGTCTAAAAGGAAAAGTACTAAAAATCCCATGAAAATGAATAATCCAGAGCTTTTATGCTGACAATATAGGAGCACAAGCTCTTGTTCCACTTTGTGCAGTACTGTCACAGCTCTCACTGAGCTCACTGTTATGCAAAGCTGATCCGCTTTGTTAGGAGAGCAGCTAATGGAAATCTGACTTAAGCCAGGAAGTGTAAATTTCAGTCTTATTTGGCATGGCAGAGCTATACCAGAATGAAAGTTCTATTTGCACGAAATAACAGTCAGTTACATAATTCATACAATGGCAACCAGTGAGCTAGCAGTGAAGATCTTTACATTCTACCTTTTGGTAGGTAAGGAATTTAACTTCGGGCCTATCTCCGACTGTTCCTGATTCCACTGGAGAATCATGCTGTGAATGACCGTGCCACCAATTTTAAAGACCAGAAGATATCATTTCATTCTCTGCCTAAAATCCTTAGTTAAAAATTCATGCATCAAACCTATACCTCTTATTTTAGATGGAAGCTACTTACAAAAACATTATCCACTCTTGAAGTAAGGTTCAAGTGGTGGGGGGAATCTATTTTATTTGTGCAAAGGTGTCACAAAGTTATTAATTATCAAAACTATGTATTTTAATTCCACTTTGAATTTGTCTTGGTTTAACTTCCGTTGGCTTTCATCATACTTTTGTTTTTCTTTATGAGAGCATAGTCTGGTATCAGTATCTAGAGATTGTATGCAGACTGTGAAAAATAATTTATCTGTCTTTGAGAAAAGTATTTAAATAACTAGTATAGTCTTTCCTCCTTCTCCACTTTCAAATCATTCTTCTTGTGTTTTTGTAAATCCTTTGCAATTTGTCTTTATCATTTTGGAGTAGGAATGTTTGATTTTGATTTTTTTTTTAATTACTTCAGTGACTGTTTGCTGTTTCCAAGAGAAAGATAATGCCAGTATCCCATATCTTCTCTTTTTGCATTTAAAGATCATCTTTGCTATCTTAACAAGAATGTCATGCTGGGAGGTTCAGTGATTACCCACTGTGCCCTCTAACATGCTAAATTTTAAGATGTGAATGAAATATTATGCTTGTCACATGGATCCGTAGAAAGAACAGAAATTAACTGAAATTTTTCCTCAGAATTGCATTCCAGCAAATGCAAGTTTTACTCCAAAGCATTCTGCCTGTGGAATATCTTCCTATTTTGGTTTGAATTTAGAGTGGCCTTGTAAGTGAGGCGTTTTCCCCTCTCATCCTTGCCATCATGTAGATTCTAATAACCTGCGTGGTTTCTAACAGTCAGAGTAGGAGGGGGTCATTGCGGGGAGCAGTGGCTTATTTACAGGGAAGTGGATATTGAAGTCATTATTCTTTAAAAGCCACTGAGGGAAGAAGTGGTTGGACTCTATGATCCTTAGGGTATTTTCCAACCTAAATGATTCTATAAACAGTTAATCTGGGTTAGGTCTGTTTTTCTCTTGATGCAGCTTTCGTTTGTGTCTTTGCTAGTGTTGCGGTTTGCTGATAACGGCAAACAGAAGTAAGCATGATGCACTTCACAGATACTTTGCTTTGCCCTTGCTGAACATGAATGCTGTGGCACATAGTTCACAGGTGCCTGAGCTAGGGCAGACAAGCATTCAGACAGAAGAGTGGATTGCTGAGGAGAAACATTGGTTTGGGGGTGAAGAGCAAACTAGCTGCATTGGTGTTCTGCTTCATTTCAGCGTGTTGGCTCAGTACAGTGCCATGCCCCAAGTTGCCTCTAATTCTGGAGCTAATACCGTCACAGCAAGCTCAGCTGTCTTTGCACAGTACTGTGTGGACTATATTTGTCTCCTGCACTGTCTCATCAATTAAGTTACATTTAACCTGCCCTTCAACTTGTCTAAGACTTGTTGTCTGAAGTTGCTTGTCTAACCTGTTCAGAGGTGCACAATGAAGTTTCTTACTCCACACTATGAGTGAAATCAAAGGTGAAGAAATTTCTTTACCAATCAGTGGAGGAAACTGGTTAGAGAGTGAGAGTAAATGAAACGCGAGAACTCTGTGACCTCAGTTTATACTTGCTCATGGAATTGCGTACTTTTGAAAAAATGTGCCAAAAGTCATGTAAGCATATGCAAAATAAAATATTTCCCATTTCCAGAAGATGAAAAAATGAATAGCAATGAAGAAATAAACGTGAAGGTGTATGTGTTAAATGCTTGCATGCAATCAAAGAAATAAAAACGAACAAGAAATAAGCCATAGTGCTTTGAACAATCCTTTTATGAACCTTTCTTCTAGTGGTGTTGGAGGGAATGTGTATCTACAGTTAGTGAATATGTCCCAAATTTAGTTCTTAACAACATGTTGTAAAAAACCCCATTCTTGGTGAGAAAGAGAAAAGAGAACAAAAATCTTGTAAAGTTTGGCCAGCTAGTTGTACTAAAAATAATTTTTAAATTGGTAGCAAAGTCAGATGTATTTGAAAAAACTTGCATTGTTTTGACTGTGCAGTGGTACCCCATCCTATTTGTGTGTTTGCCCAGCATGCTAAAGAACTGTCCCATTTTTTATCTTTGGTACACAGAATGGTTGAACAATCATAATAATTTTTGGTTTTGTTATTGTTCCATAGGCAGCTTCCTACCTTGTTTGCGATGTGTAATTTAGATATCTGCTCTGGAGATCATTTCTGTGATTCTCTTTAAGAGCTGTTTGCATCATTCATCAATGGTATCTGAATGCTCCAGAAACATTAATTAGTTTACCACCCGTCGTATGAGGGGAGGTAGCTACATCATCCACATTTTCTTAGGGAAGCTTTTACTGGAGTTAACTGTACCAAGTACTTTATAAGCTCAGAGCATAGGTCCAGTGGATTTCAGATATAGATGTGAACGCTTAACACTTCAACCGATCAGACTTAAAGATATCAAGGTAGTCCCCCAGAAAAGGAGGAAGGCACAGTTAAGAACTGCATGTGAAAGATTTGGTTTAGGGTAAGCAAAGCATCATGCTAAAGATCTGTGGCACTCTAAGGAGTCAAATTAATTCACCTTTGTTTTTCTCTTCCTCTACCCTCCTGCCCTGTGCTTTTTCTGCCATTCAACTTCTGAGACAAATCAGATGTATGTTCTAGGGAAAAGATCTTCTGTGACATGGCTGTATTTCATGCACCAAAATTGTCATGGTGAATGCGGAAAATATGATGTATGATGATACAACTGAAAAATAGTATCATAATGTATAGCATATTATGTGGTAAAGCATATTTTAGCTGTTATAAAAATCTCTTTGGCAAGCCTAGAAACTCTTGTCATGTAGGATCATCAATACTAAAAGAAAGCATCTAGTTTCTCTAGAACTTTTCAGTTTAGATTTTTCAAGTCTCCTTTTTTGCTCATATTAAGGTGGCATTTTCAACTAATATAGCAGAAGCCACTTTCGCACCAGCAGTGCAGCACCACCGCAAAATTAGAGCGCTCAGTGGAGCACTAAAGTTTCTTAGCGAATCAGTTGTAAGATATCTATATCTACATCTATATCTATACCTATCTAAGTAAAAATAAAAAATCATTTGCTTAAATCTTGTTCCCTTAAATGGTTCACATTTGCTGAATTTTTAAAAAATATGTTCTATACCAATGTTAAGCAAATACTCAGCATGAAAAGTCACAGTCTAAATAGCTTTACTTCTGGCTCTGTTCTAAAGCACTAAAAGCAGCTAGTGATAGCAAAGTTTAGATAGTCCTAAATATAGAAAGTGCTGTTTGCCTAGCCTATGATAATGGTTAAATCTATTATGGTCAATGAAGCTACAGAGTCAAATGCAATCAAAATCAGACTGTGGACCTAGCATTAGGCAGGGATAGTGACAGAGCTCATTGAGAGTCATGGTCACTCTCCATGTAACTCACAGTCTATTAGGTGCCTGTGATGTGGACCTTAGGAGGTCAACACTTCTTTTCGCAGAAGCGAAACATCATGTAAGACTAAGAAGATTGTAATTTAATTGTGATCATTGACACCCATTAGCATTAATCTTTTTTAGACTACATTGTAGCGATTTTGCAGCAGGCATCATTACTGAACATTCTAACCTTTAAGCATGGGCTCAGTAGGTATTGAGCATTTTGTTCTGATCAGGATAACATAATCTCAGTTAAAAAAGGGGTAGCTGCAAGGTTTAAAGGTGATTTAGAAATACTTTGTTATTTAGGATGGTTTTGTCTAGCAGTTTGACTTACATCTGCCTCAAGAAATTAATGGAGTTCAAACTGAAGTAAAAGCAGAAGCAAATATTGGTGGTGGAGTTTGAGGAAGAACGTCTCTGAGTATCAGAAAATATCTCATTTTCTGTTTTCTTTGTTCCCTTGGGATTTGTAACTGAATTCTTACATCCTACCTTTCTAGCACAGCTCCATTTATCTCTTGCCTACCCATGATTCCCACCTTTCTACCCAGCCCCTAGGTTCTCTTCCCCATTCCTTTTTTCTTCTATCCCCTATGCCTTCAGTTAACAGCAACTTCCCTGCTCGCCCAAATTTTGCAACAAGCCCAGGCAAGTTGCAGCATGACATGTTGCCAAGTAGCACCGATCCTTACCTCTCATGGGATCATTAATCTAGATCTCCCTCCATTGCAGAGATGCAATTTTTTTTCACAAACATGCAGGAACTGAGACCTCTTTTGCTCCATCAAACTCTCTGAAGTTGAGAAGTGTTTCAAAAAAACAGAAAGACAAACCAACAGCATAGTCACATGATTCTTATTCCCTGGGGAAGTCAAGCTTAACACAAGAGACCTTCTTTGTGGTAAGAAGTCTGATAAGCATATCACGCAGGTGTCTTTTTTGTTTGTTTTATTATTTAACAGTTTGACATTGACAAGGAAGCAGGAGAGAGACAGATTTACCATCGGTACTGTATGGAACGGGCATCTGTACATTGTGCCCATGTGTTCACCACAGTCTCACAGATAACAGCTATAGAAGCAGAACATATGCTTAAAAGAAACCCTGGTAAGACCTGAATTGTGTTCTTATTATATTTCCTCCGAGTACCTACATATCCTCAGAATGAATGAAAATAATGGAGACAGGTATACAAACATGAAGAGCAAGGACATATGCATAGGTATGTCTGGCTACACTACAGAGGATAACCAATTTTCGAAAGAAAAGTGCAGATAATGTCACTTGAAACACATTCTAGTGGCGTATGTAATCCAGAAGAAATGAATTGCAGCACAGTTTAATAACTGCTTTCAGTACCATTTCAGGAGAGCATTCATATAACTCCATGGATGTTAGGCTTTCTTTGCAAGGACACCTCAGCTTCAGGAGTTTTGTCTATAGCAGGGTTTCTAGTGATGGTAATATATTCAGATCAACTGATGAAAGCAGAAGCTGGAACCTTTGTAATACATTTCACCAGCTTTTACAGTGTGAGGTTTGTTGCTTTGCTGGACATGAGCGATAGATTCTTTTAGAAATGCAGCAAAAAGTTTCATATGCAAACCAGAATGTTAGATGAGTTTTGTTTTCCAGTGCTAATGCTGTTTTTCTTTACTAGTATTGAAGGAGATGAGAAGGCAAAAACCAAACTGTAAATCAATACAGTTCATTTCCCTGTATCTCTCACAGCTAGGAGTAGCAGTGTGGTTGTGGCCATCATGATCTTAGGACCTAAACAGGAAAAGTTTCATAGATAGATGTGATTTTTTCTAATAGACCAACCAGTACACTTTGAGAAAATAATCAAGATATGTGCCCAACAGCTTGTCTGATTTTCCTCTTTGTATTAGTCTAATAAAATATGGAACTTACCAACAAACCTTATTGTGTTCTATGCATGGAGTCTGAATAAAGTCATGTTCACAGATGGAATATCAGTTGAAGCTGAAGAGGATTCCATGCATAGAGATTCACAAGCCTGAGCTTTTTTTTGATTATTCTTGCAACTCTGAAGAAACCAAGTGAATATATTGAATGTTTGGGTTAAAAAATAGTTGACACATATCATGCTTCATGTTGACAGAGCTAGAAAGAAATTCAATAGGAATTGATATCCCAATTCCTAGGAGACAATTATAAGTGGAAAATATGTTCTGATAAGAATAAGTACTTTAGTAGTTTATTTGAATCTTAGACCACAAATAAACTGTGTAGGAGTCTATTCTCATACTATTTATTCTCTCTGAAGCTGTGAAATCAGTGTAGGCATTGGCTTTTCAGAAAGGTCAGCAATCCTTCAGTAGATCATTAAGCTTGAATTCTGCAAAGGAACATGAATACTGAAAGAATTTGTATACTTCTTGATCCACTTTAAAAATAAAATTTTAGAAGGGGGATGCAGAGTGTGCACATTTAGCTTTTATTTGCATTTGAATTTATTGAGAGGTAAACTTTGTAACAAAGTTGTTAACTGAAAATAACTGAGGAAATGTGGTAAGTAGAGCAGTCTCCGATGCTTCTCATTAACGTTGAACTAGGATTATAATTTAAATTATAAATCCTGTCACTTGGAAAAGCCCCTTTAAAATTCAGTAGATATGATTGCACAGATAGCTTTTCCAGCAGGACAGAGGCTGGTTTGGCAGTCTAAATCTTTCAGAATGACTGCTTGCATTACACTGATTTCACTTGCTGCTGTTGTTATTTGATCAATAATTTATCAAACCATATTTGTCAAAAGCTTGAGTATCTAATGTTGAACCTGTTCTCTTTGACATATCATGCAAGATTCTAAGTTATATTCCCATGATTTGAAAACTGATATGGGATTTTTGATTTTTTCATTCAGGTATGAAACATATTTCTCATTAGCAGCAGAGAAGACTTTGAATCAAAATTCCTAAAGGCTTAGGTATCAGTTAAGATCCAGATCTAGACTTCATATCTATATATATTTGATCAAAATCATAGAAGTAAACTGTGGAAAAGTATGAATCAACACTGAATCTTAGTGACTTATCAACACAAAATACCATAGTGTGCTATTATTACTTAAATCAATGCCAGTTTCTTTCCTATAAATACAGAAGTCAAATCACTCTGATTTGACCTACTTGGGACAATTTTAAAACAAAAATGGCATTAATTCATTAAACAACAAAAAACCCAAAACACTTAAATAGGAACAAAGCTCTCTTTCATCAGTTCTTCCCTAGGGCAAGGGCACATTGCCTCACACATATTCAAAATATTGTTCTATGTTGAGCAGAAATAGGGAACTGGATACTTTTGGCCGCCACATCCGTTCTGTATCTCAAAGGCTTAAATAAGGGATGGATTGAGCCCAAATCCTGATGAAAGGGTAAATGAAGATGCAGTTGAATCAAATAACATGGGAGTACATTATATATAGGCTGCAGATGATGGGTGAGACCGTCCAAAACTCCCTGATAAATAAATGCGAGAGAGTGGATGGCAACTGACCAGAAATACCCATTCAAGGATTCTTACTTTATTGGGAAGAGCTTGAAGTGGTTGCAGGCTCAAACCTATGTCCTGCATGAGCCATTTCTTCCATGCAGAACAAGAACCAGATCAGAGGAAGGAAACTATATGTTGTTGGTAAAGATAAACCAAATTGGAGGGTATTTCTGCTCAGTTGACCCCTGACTCATATGAAGCCACATAGGGCTTAGTTCAGAGCAGCTCCTAGTGCTGGGCAGCAGAAGATAAGAAAACAAGTTTTCTTGTCACTAAGAACCAAATCTGAAGTACTTAACGTATAAAGGTCTCTTGATAAAGGCTGGTCTTCAGTTTGGAATGTGGTGTTTCAAGAAAGAACTGTTGAATTTTTTGGTATTGCATGGTTACTAATAAAGGTTATATTTTTATCTACTGCTGTTTATCCTAGAGTCTCAAAACACTTTACAAGATGCAGAGTAATCAGAGATCACTTACCTGAGAGGGAAATATATACACTGCTGAAGCAGACTGTAAACTCAAGGAAGTCAGTAAAAATGGCTGTGACACTTGCATGAAAAATGTCAAGCAAGTATACTGGACAGCATATGGAGAAATGATTGTACTTATTTTAAGATCATCTTGATATATAATCAGCCAAAGGAGCCATAGATGTTTTAAAGATGTCTCCCTAAGACTCTCCAGAAATAGGAGACAGTTTTGTATTAGGTCAGATGCTTAACGCTAGACATACTTTACTTTTAGGGCAAGAGACAAGAAACCCTGAATGTCAGGCATCCTTGACTGAAAGACCACAACAGAGGTAATGTTCAAGTCCTCTGTTGGTGGCAAGTAAGAGACTGTACTCCCATCAGTAATATTGATGTGTGGGGTGGAGATAACGATGTGCACTGAGATCAAAGGATCTGTTTTGTTTGCATGAACCATATGTGGTAGGGAATGATATCTTACTGAAGGTCCTTTGGATGATGCATAGAACTTTTAAAATTATTACAGTTAGTGGCTGTGGTTACTAGACACCTGATGACACTTGCCAGGAGAACAAGTATGAAATTGGCACCAGTTAATCCTCTAATAATTAGGCCTTCTTGCTTCTTTGAAGATTCTTTGTATTTGAAGAATCATAAATTAGTATAAGTCTCCTGAAGTCAGTTGTGTTACTATGAAGTACATCTGCTGAGGAACTGGCCTCCCCTTTCATTTCCATACATGGCTTTCATAAGCCAACTCAAAAAAAAGAAAATGGCATTCTTTCCATTTACTTCAAGTAGATTTAGGGCAAGCCTTTAAATTGCTGCTGTGCTCTACCAGAAAGGTGAAGAGTGACTGAATTTCAGTGTTGGTTGGAACAAGCTGTGTCTGTCCTTATTACTTAATTTTAGAAGATACTGGAAATGAACAAATTTTAATTGTAAGATGCTTTGGAATCTTTGAGGACAGCAGCCATAAAAGTGCAAAGCACGTTGGTTCTTTCCTTAAAGATTTCTCTGGCTCTGAAGATGTCTGCCTCTGCCTTTTCTCTGCTTTTCCAGATGTTGTCACCCCAAATGGCTTGAACATTAAGAAATTTTCGGCAATGCATGAGTTTCAGAATTTGCATTCCATGTACAAGGCTAGGATCCAAGAGTTCATTCGAGGTCATTTCTATGGGTATGCTTTTACTTTTCAATAATTAGCAATGGTTGTCCAACACTATTTACAGCAAGAACCAAAGCAGGAAGACTAACAAGTACTTCACAGAGGTGATGAAATGTTACCAATTTATTCAATTATCTGTCTGGGATTTCTCAGTCAGAGGGTAAAGGAATTTTAGACATCAGTTCTAACTCTGCTTAGCAGATTGTGGCATCAGGCAGAAGGTCTTGATTTTTTCATTATTCACCCAAGATGCATTTTATCACGTTAAAATAGTCATCTTAATTTAAAGAATAGCAGAAAAGCCTCATTTTCATTATGTTCTTGGGATAATAAATTCCTCCAGAAATGCTGTTTTGTGTTTTGTTCGATTATATCTTGAGAAATACTTTGTGCTTGTCTGTTTGTTTACTTGGTTTCAGCCACCTTGACTTCAGTCTTGACAAGACCTTATTTTTCTTCATTGCTGGGAGATACGAGTTTTCCAACAAAGGAGCTGATATGTTTCTAGAAGCCTTATCAAGATTAAACTTTTTGCTGAGGGTAAGAAAGCTTCTGCAAATGTAGATAACATAGAGCTTATGCTGAAACTTACCATACTAGGGAAGTCACATGCAAGAATTTCCATGCCATACTCTGGTTTATAGGAAAATAATTATGGGATATTCAGAGTTCTCATAAAGCTCTCCTCCTGAATCATCAGAGTATAGAACTATCTCAGGCTGCTTAAAAAGAATTGATTACGTGTTTTAAGAAGTTAATCCATGGTTACTTCCCTTCTTTTTAGAGAAAAATACTGAAAATATGATTCAAGATTTTACCCTGAAGGTTTACATGTTAGAAGGCAAATAAAAGTAATCCTTAAAGGATGCAATTTAAAAATATCTTTTTAAGCAAATTTCTTAATTTGTTAGAACCTAATCATGATCTTTCAAATGTTTGAGTGCTATTAGCATGCTGGATGGGAATCGCATTAAAATTCACAGTGTGGCAGTGACCTGATGAATAGGCATGGAGAAGCCACTCTCTCCTCCATGCTTCTGTTTCCTTAGGTAAAAAATGATAGCAATGTTTCTAAATGCCTTTATGGAGTACTTTGATGATGATAAGACCAAGGCCTTGTCATGATCAAATAGTAGAGCACTTACCACCTACAAATGAGGTAATTGAAAATGCCTCCAGATGTGTCCCAAAGGTGGATACGTTTAAAATAAATAAATAAATAAATAAGCTAATTGGTTTTCAGTCATCTAGCAAGGATCAACTGGCCATTGTCCCAGAGTCTCTTTTGTACTCTATCATTTAAATGATATGGAAAATGTGGATAAAAATCATGATACTATATTGTCTGCAGAGCTGAAAAAATATTAATTTTGAAAGCCCTAAGTACATTTGTTCTGCCACTGCCTTCTATTAAGACCATTAGAGCCTGTGGACTTTCTGAAAATACTTAATCCATTCACTCACACAACAGGTCACCTCACATAACTTCAGTATTTCTTTCACAAATTTGCCAAACAACTGACTTCTGTTGTTTGGCAATGCTGTGCAACATCTGCTACCTGTTAATGGCGTTTACATAGCTATTAACTATAAATGCTGGTAATGTGGAAGTTCTTATATGGTAAGAGGGAAAGAATTGCTTGAGCAATGATTGCAGCAATCTTTCACTGTATCTAATGATTTATGTGACATCAGTGACAAGCTAGGCTGATGGAAAGTCAAAGGAAACTGAGGCTACTTTTCCAAAGCTCTCTGGAACAGTGTGCTGGGACTTGCTTCTCCCATAAGCTGAGCCTGGCTTTATTGAGTTACTGTTCCAACGTGCATGCCAGCACCTGATTAGCTGTTCAAAGAACACTTGCTCTGTAATTATTTCAAGAGATAATTCCATTGGGAACAGCAGAATACCTGTAATACTAGTGAATCTGAGAATCATGGTGTTTCTTAATGAAGTCCCAGTGGTGTTCCTGAACCTAAAAAATACATAGCATTGGATGGAATTATTGTATTTTATGGAGTCCTTTTCCTTTGCTACTTGAAAACTTTACTAACATTTTGGAAATAATATATGAATGTTGGGATAGGTTGTTAATACACACTGAGATCATAGCATTATGGACTTTGAACCTGCCTTGAAGAGAGGGAAGGGAAGAACCTTAAAATGAGAGATGACTCCCATAGGTTATTTTGTACTACACATTTCCCTGTACCTCAGTCTGAGAGAAGGCATGCTAATAGCATGTTTGTGTGTCTAAAGTTTAGAATAGAGGCAATTCAAAATAATTTAATTTTTACAGCTCTGAACAGAGTTCACCCTTAGCTTTTCTTTAAGTAGTTGCTGACAGGAGTACAACCTCATTCTGCTCCATGTGAGAAACCCCTCAGGGACCCAGAATTCTGAATCCTGTTAGCACACAGGAGAAGCCAGCAAGTGAAACCATCTATAAGTAAAGTGTCAAATTTTATAGCAAATGCTTTTTGCCTTTGCAGTAGCTGGGTGTGAGAAATGAGCAATAAGTTGCTTGCAGGTTTCTGTGTGTCTGGCGGGTTTGCCAGAGGTTCAGGTTGACAGTAGTTGCCGTCATGCCTGTTTCTGCCCATACCTCTGGGGCACTGTTGATAGAGAAGGTAGTTCTGCTTGTTGCTGTAGGGAATCCCTTGACACATGCCTGGGCATACCCCAGCTAGTAAACTAACTGATCACTCTTGAGCCAACAAAGTTTGTGTCAGGTGAGCAAATGTGTGTAGGATATTTTTTTTTGCAGTTGATGTTCACATCCTAAGCCATGGCCTCTAAACCATGAGAAGTCAGGAAGATCTCTATAGCCCAGATTGGAAGTGGGTAACATCTGTTTACCTGTATCTATCCGCAGCTATATCTCTGACTTGCCAAAAACTTCATAGCTAAAGGGAGAGGTGTAAGATCAGAGCCTTTCTGGACAACCAGTCAGTGCATTGGCTTTTCCTGTGACTAATCCTTACTGTTAAAGTTCGCTGTGATACCTTGTAGTGAGATTTTTTTTTTCTCTCCATCTTGTGTCCATATAGGTTCATAAGACTGATGTTACAGTTGTTGTGTTCTTCATCATGCCAGCAAAGACAAACAATTTCAATGTGGAAACCCTGAAAGGACAAGCAGTCCGGAAGCAGCTCTGGTAATTGCCATTCTCACTGAGGGCAGTGTACAGTGAATTGAGGAGACGTGCAAAAGTTTCTGATGAAGAATAATGCTCTTTCTTTATGCTCTGCTAAAATTGAGGATTGTGGGTAACTAGAGTGTATTTGTGGGGATGAAAGAGATGGAAATGATAAATAAGGACAAATATTTATCTTTTTTTTGTCCTACATTGTTTTCAGTAAACTTGCCTTGCCATGCTTTGTAACAAGTTAGTAAATAGTACTTGTTTTGCAGTGATGAAGTCAAAGGTTCTAGAAAATCTGGTGTTCTGGATGTCTGCTGAGTGTTTCTAATACTGCCTTTGGACATGCCATTGAGCTTCCACAAAATATGGACCACCTGCTAATTTATCAGAGTGAGCTTCTCTGCCACTGGTGGGAAAAAGAAATCAAATACACATCCTCTTTTATTTAGAAATATGGAAATTGTACTGACTAATCCAGCAGAATAACAGTTGATAACAATTGTGTGTAATTTTCTATATAGCCTACATTAAGCAATGGCCATACTCAAGCAGTGAAACTTACAGTTATAAAGGGAGAATTGTCACAGCACTTCTTAGTTTAACATTTTTCCTTTTACAACTTCCCAAACAAAAAAGCAAAGCAGGAGCAGACTGAACCTTCACCTTACTTTAACTGCTGTGTTATTCTGCACAGGAAAAGACACATGTTGTAAGGTACTTCTAAACTGAGACACATGGCAAAACCGAATATTCAAATTCATAAAGAAAATCAGTGGTGGGTTATCAAGGATGAATTTTGTTTTAAAAAGTGAAAATTCCATTACATTCAACTTATTTATAGATTAATTATCTAAGCAGGGAAGTGAAAATGTGCACCGTATCAGGTGGCTAGGGCGGTTAAACTCTGCTGCAGAAGTAAGGAAGCTGGTCTTAAAGCTAAAGCACTAGAACCCACAAGACCTAACTTCTGCTTTTATGCCTATGTCTTACTGTTTTAAACTCTCTCTGATGCCAGTTCTGTATTTATAAAATGACAGAAATCTAAACGACTTAGAGATCTGTAGATGGAAGGCACTATGTATGAGACGGATGCTATTTTTCTTGTTATCTCATTAACTGCCTCCAGCAGATGATCTGTGACTCAGTTTCTGGATATCAATAATCAAGTTGAAGTCTTCGATGAACAGATACTAAATCTACACAAAATCAATTACAGAAAAAGTTTAACAAGGATCATTGAAGTGATTTAGCTTTTGCCTTATCTGAAAGAGAAAGCAGAGATGAGAAATCTATCTACTGTCTAGATTATCTCTGGAGTCATCACACAGCAACTTCTTGGGACTTACAGGAAACATTCTATCTGGTTACCGCTCTGGAAACTGGTACCACGAATGTAGAGGTTGGAATTGTCCAACTCTGGATTCCTAAAAGTAATGCATCTGAGCTGCCTTCACTGCCAGCAGAGAGTGATTGTTCACTTCCAATGATATTTCATCCTATACCACTTCAGGCAGTGTCTAAGAGGAGAGAAGGGCATCACCCTCTGAAATGGACTGGGCACCGTCTGGAGGATCTGCCCAACTAGCTTAAACTGTAAATGGCCAAGGAGGGTGACATAGCCAGAGTTTTTAATGAGAACTCTGAGCCATGTTTGCAACAAGTGCTTTTGGCCTCTGCTTTGTCTTTGATATAAAGTACATAATGTACATAAATACATATTAGTGTACATAAATACATATTAAATAAATCATATACGGATATTAGGACAGTTTAAATTAAATGAAATATGCAAAATTTTTTTCCTTGTTGTATCTCTACTACATGGTTATTTCTCTGGTACTCAGTAATGCAGGCACAATAGTAACAGTGAAAGTAAATCTAAAGATGTGAAATCATGCAAAAAATGTGGTTTCCAGCTATTCTTCCCACTGTGTTCTGTGAAAAGCAAAAGACCCTCTGCATCATCATGTGCAGCATTATCATGGTCATAATGTGGAGCTCCTGGATAGAACCACCTGAAATCAGTATTCCGTAGTAGTATTAGATGATTTTAAGGATGCCACAGAAATTAAATACCAGAAGAGGCTGGCACTTGCAAAGGAATAAACAATGGCTGATCTGGGATACTAAATGCCTTGTTTCCTCTGCTTCTGAAAAAATGGTCTGTCCTATCTGGGTTAAGTTTTGGATATTGATCATGCCATGGGTCTAAGAAAATGTAGTCATGAGGGGACTAGCTTGCTGGGATTTGGATCAGTTTAGTTTGACAATTAGCTGCTTTACAACTCATTCAGAATTAACTCATCCACTATTGTGTCTGTGTGAGTTGGGAGAGAGCAAGTAACAGGTATGTGGGTTCTCAGCTTGGTAAAGTTTAGGATTTCACTTAACAAGTTTTGTCTTAGCCCAAAGTATGCTTCTTAGAAGTCAGACAGGCAGGAAGAGTTTCATGAAGTGGATATTTTACGCAAATTGAGAGTGCATTTTCTGTTTTGACAACAGCACTTCCAGCTGTACTTTGAAGTTATTTCAGCTAGAGGCAGGAAAATATAAATGGGCCCTTGCATTTAGAAGAGTTCTTCACTGGAGTCCTTTCTCAGCTAAATTATAACATTTTTCTGATGATACAGGCTTTATTATTAACTTAAAACATGGCCTGACATTTTCAGGAAGCTTTCTGGTTTGCAAACTAATTTATGGCAAATTAGTTTTTAGTCTAATACTTGTTTTCAAAAATCTTTGAGCTAGGAAACAGGGCAGCAAAAGTGTTAGAAGTAATCTCTAGTGAGGTCTGCTTCTGGATTTCACAATGCATCCATCTTTGGATGCAGGTCAAATCCTCAGTTCTGTTGAAATCCATCAGTATGGCTGCTGACTGAGAACCAGACCTCTGTCTGCTGCTGCATGCTTGATTCCATCAGTATACATGAAAGCATAATTTAATTTCCAACGGCAGGAATCTTTTTTTTTCTGTCTTTGTCCTGGATTCTCCTGTTTTATACATATATTTATTTATTTTCCTAGGGACACTGCACAGTCTGTGAAAGAAAAGTTTGGAAAGAAACTCTACAATGCCCTGCTAAAGTGAGTGTATAGGTTACTTTGTTCTGCCTTACAGAACCACATATTCAGCTGGCTTACCTGTGGTTTTTCTGTGCTTCTACTCTTTGTGTAAGAAATTTTTACATCCATAGGAAGGGCATAGGAGGAGGATATGGGACCCTCTGTTCCATTTGCAGGTTACTTGTTCAATAGGCAAATCACAGAAAAAAAACTTAAAGGTACTAGCACCCCATTGTGCAAAGAGTCTTAAGAGATATGGAGGGTATCTAAGTAACACAAAGGCTTACTCACTGTCAAAAATTAGCTATCTCAGCTTAAAAAAGCACCAGAGACAAAGTAATATGTAGTAGTGGCTTAGTCTTATCCTTGCGAAAGAGAGTTGGAAGTGAATGACTCAAAGCACAGATGAGATGACTGGAACTTAAGCAAAACCAAGAAGTGTCTGAAAAATGGGAAAAAAGAATTCTTTAGCTTTTTGGAACCTAATTGGAAGGTCAAAAGTATATGGGAGAACAAAATGTAGGGAATATAGAAGGGCCATGAAAGCAAAGGAGAGATTCCTGGTGACATCAGTAGACTTCAGATCAGACCTTGTTTGCTGTTTCTTCATTTTCTTTATACAATTGATAGTAAGTCGTTTGGTAAAATAGGCTCTGTGTTGCCTCTGCAGAGGAGAAATTCCAGACTTGAACAAGATTCTTGACCGAGATGATATAACCATTATGAAAAGAGCCATCTTTTCAACTCAGGTCAGAAAATGTATTGTTTACACAAATATCTAGTATAAATGATAAACATGAATATGTACAAGGATTGTGCATGACTTACAGTGATATGCATGCATTGAAAAAGAAGTTTTCAGCAAATATGCTTCTCATCGGTAACTTTTAAAGATCAGCTGTGATTGTTTTTAATGAGAGTATGACCCAAATGAATTCTTTTGGGGAATCTATGGGTATTCCCCTTGTCACATGCAGGACCCCAAAATTCCTCATTCTTTTCTTCTGCACTAAATGTGACCTTTGCATTGTTCCTGAAGCCTGGATTCTTCCATTTTAATTAAATATGTAAAATCAGCCTCTTAAGGAGACAGAACATATTGACTAAAAACTTAAAATTAAATGGTTGGCCTTTCTAAAAGCTAGTACAGATACATTTGTTTTGAGGTAATTGAAACAAGTCCTGTGACAGATTTTATAGTCTCGTTTGTGGCCTTAGTTATACAGAAGACAACATTATATGATTATAACATTCTTTTCTGACCTTAAAATGAAAAGGTAAAAACCTATCCACATAGACGATAAGATCTCCCGCTGTCTTCCACTAACCTTAGAAAACGGTAACAGGACTGTGCCAACAGTTTTTTCTGGCTTATGGATTGCCTTTTCTCTCTTTAGCGACACTGTCTGCCTCCAGTGACCACCCACAATATGATTGACGATGGCAATGATCCAATCCTCAATACCATCCGACGCATTGGTCTTTTCAATAACCGGACAGACAGAGTAAAGGTACATTCTGTCATTTTCATTTTAGATATAAAATGGAGTTTGTTGAAACAATCTCAGTCTGGATCATCAGCATGGAGAGTACAGTCAAATTCTTGATAGGCAGTATTATATTAATAGAGAACTACTTCTTTCTTCCTCACTTTATAGGAATAACAACTAGTCACTTCACAGATCTCCTCAGTTGCTGTTCAATCAAGTTAATTTCAAGTTAGAAATCTGATGTTAGGGAATTGTTTTCATTGCTGCCTGCTGTACTGAATGAGGAGCTACTACTTCTGAAATCCAGAAAGTGCCACGGGTTGTTTGCAGCTAGATGTAAAACCCTGAAATAGATTCATTTGCTTAAAACTGGAGGTCCAGAGTTTGCACACAGACATTTCTGGAGTATTGGTTCATCTCTTGAGAACAGCACCCTGACACTCAGTATATGCTGTAGAAGGTAACCAGGGCTTTGATCCTGAGCAGAAATATTTCCTGTTCATGCTGTGCTCATGCTGATATCAACTGTTGAAGCTAAATGTGTATAAATAAATCCTATTCTTACTTACATGTCTGTCTTAGCAGGTCACAGAAATGATCAGCTCCCACTTTCACAAGTCTACCAAAGCTTTTTTTGGTCTGGCTATCTCTGGCATTCTCTCTGTTAACGATGACTATATCTCATCACCTACCTATTCAAAGTAGAACCTAAAATTACAAATTCTTCCTCTTCCAAACCTTCTTTTTAAGGACAGATCCATAGAATCACTGACAAGGACATATCACTTGTTCTCAGTGTTTTGGCTTTTAAACCTGTGACAATAACTGAGTAAAATTGAGCCAGCAGTGTGCCCTGCCTGCCAAGAAGGCCAATGGCATCCTGGGTGGCATTAGGAAGAGTGTGGCCAGCAGGTCGAGGGAGGTTCTCCTCCCCCTCTGCTCTGCCCTACTGAGGCCTCATCTGGAGTACTGTGTCCAGTTCTGGGCTCCCCAGTTCAAGAAAGATGAAGAGCTACTGGAGAGAGTCCAGTGGAGGGCTACGAGGATGGTGAGGGGACCGGAGCATCTCTCCTACGAGGAGAGGCTGAGGGAGCTGGGCTTGTTCAGCCTGAAGAAGAGAAGGCTGAGAGGGGACCTTATAAATTCTTACAAATATCTCAAGGGTGGGAGTCAGGAGGATGGGGCTAAACTCTTCTCAGTGTTGCCCAGCGACAGGACAAGGAGCAATGGGCACAAACTGAAGCACAGGAAGTTCCGTCTGAACGTGAGGAAGAACTTCTTCCCTCTGAGGGTGACGGAGCACTGGAACAGGCTGCCCAGGGAGGTTGTGGAGTCTCCTTCTCTGGAGATATTCAAGACCCACCTGGACAAGGTCCTGTGCAGTCTGCTGTAGGTGACCCTGCTTTGGCAGGAGGGTTGGACTAGATGACCCACAGAGGTCCCTTCCAACCCCTAACATTCTATGATTCTGTGATTCTGTAAACATTTTCTGCACCTTCCTTGTCACTTCTTCGTAAGAACATATTCTTTGCTAGGCCTGTGTCTCCAATGAGCCCTGAGAGCATAATATGGTAATAATATACTAGACTAGATGTAACAAAAGTAGCGTGGAAGGATGCAAAAATTCCTCAGAACTAACTGCTTGAAGTCATTAGAAAGCAGATAGCATATAACACCATAGACACCTCTTCCTGCTTCTTAGCAGACTTGATTGGCTAAATTTATGTCAAGTTTGTACAAAACTGTCATTACCACTGGAAAATTACCTGCTGCATGAACAGGCTTAGTACTTAATGAGCTGAATGCCATGGACAAGAAATTCTGTAAACTTCAAATGGAAAGTCATTTTGGAGAGATGTATGATATATCCACACAGACAGATCTGGCATGTGAAAAATAGCCTCAGCAACGCCAATGGAAAATCTTACTTGATTCACTGGGATCAAATAAGCTTGCATAATTAATTTACAGCGCATTTACTGGTTGAATACATTCATGCATTGATTTATTCAAGTGAGTAGCATGACTATATTATTAAGAAAGGATAAAAGCATATCCTTGGCATGGAATAATGGCTGCAATATATTTATGTGGGGAAAAAAGCCCATAGAAGTTTAAACCCTTCCTTCACACTTCTTCCTCCCAAAGCTGACTGGACAGCATACACAAGGCACTTCTCTACTTAGCACTGAAATATGGGGCAGTGACTTCAAGTCCTGTAGAGTCCTGCAGATAAATTAGCTTGGGTCCTGAAAGTGGGACATTAGCCTAAGTTAATAAGCTTTGTCTTTCAGCAAGATTAGTTAGCCTAGGCACAGGACTGTGATGATGGGTCTATAATATGTCTGTTTTCAAAATTCTCTCAGTTTTTGAATACAGTAAGCATTCCTATATTTCAGTTGGATGCTGTGAAGCTCAGAAATGCTGCATCCTCCTGAGGCCTCCTCTGAAACAAGACATTCCAATGCTCTGTACCTTGGTACAACAGACCAAGAGAACCAATTTAGTGTTGCTGAATGCCACAGCCTTAGGCATAATTCTCAATGCACATGGTCTTCCTTGATCAACAAGGATAAAGCTGAAGACCTGTCCAGAGAAATAGTTCTATTATCAATACTTATTATCAGTACTATCTATAAATCAGTACTATTTCCAGGACAAGACTGCACACAGGCAGGATACCTTTTAGTGTGGGAAGTGAATTAGGTAGCACATGGGCAAAGCAGGTGTTGTCCAGATACTTAGGAAAATACCAGAGTGAAACTTCTTGATAATTACATGTATTGATGATGGTTTTCTTTCACCTCTAATGTAAGTTTTGAATATCCAGGTGATCGTACATCCAGAGTTTCTTTCTTCAACAAGCCCGTTGCTGCCCTTGGACTATGAGGAATTTGTTAGAGGCTGCCACCTTGGTGTATTTCCATCATACTATGAACCCTGGGGTTACACTCCAGGTAGGCAATCTGTACACTTAACTAGTATCGAAAGATGTCCATTCTGTTGACGCAGAATAGGTTTGCAGCCAGTTTCTTCTGGAGGGCTGAAAAAGCTATTTTGGCTCTTTTTCCTCTGCAGTGCATAAGTCTTACTGCTGGCAAAATTTGTGGGCCAGGTGGTATCAAATGGCATCTGCTGACTGACGACTACTCACATTTGTCCCTGCACTGGACCCTTACCCATACTAACATGTAATATTTTGATTTTCTGTGGCTTTAGAACAAAAAATCTTTTTTAATACTTAATTCATAACTTGATTCAAAGATTTTAAAAGATCATGTAGAGGACTGTACATATTGAAAAATGTAGGCAAGAAATTTGATGCTACCAGCCAACATACTTCAGTGGATTTAATTAAAGATAATAGTTAAGTTTGAAAGAATTATGTAACACCATATCTAAGATATTTACCACAAATACATGCAGTGGTAGAGAATCTCACAGAATTAAATTGATATTTCTAAAGATACAGAGAGCATTTAGTTTCTGACTTAAAAATTGGCCCAGATTTACAGAAGGCACTTAACACCTGATGAAAACAGTGCAAACTATGAACTTGAATATGTATGAAGATCAAAGCCTGGGTGCCTGGGTTTTCATGTCCTCCAAAATAGCTTTTGTAGTCTTGATACACATCTGGAAGTTGGGGTGCCCAACTTTTGCCAACAAAGAACATTTGTTGTAAGCCAGTGGATCAGAATAGAAATTTTGTAAATTCATTCATTCTCCAGACCTATTTCTCTCAAAGTAGGAGAGCTATTCAGTTCCAAGTAAAGCAACTGTCTTGCAGTCCACCAGTTTCTCTTCCTGTTCTAATCTCAGCTAAGGTATAAAGAAAGTGTGACAGCCAGGTATGATTTTGAAGTGAACATTAAAGTAAACCTGGACAGAAAAGATAGGCTGGTACTTAGCAGATTTGAGGAAAGCTGTTATTTACGTTAGTCAAAAGGACAGTTTCTCTTTCCATTTCACTAATGCAAAAGTGATTAGCTTTGCTGATACCCACTTAATTCTCCCAGAAAAAAAAAAATAGTGATTTTTTTAAGGTAGATTTATAGCTCTATTGTATAGACACCAGTTTTATTGTCATATTAATGAAGGCCATGTAGATGGCCTGTAGCATTTCAAAGACTATTTACTTATCTGCCTGCTGTCTTAGGTTAGGCTGAAGTTCATCAGCAACAACTGTAAGTGTGAGTAAACAGTTATCCTTACTCACAGCAATGATAGAAATAACTATATAAGATGCATACATTTTCTAATTTTATAAAACTAGCTCCACATCTACTTTGAATGCAGTCCTGAGTTAGTGATGGGGTTGTTGGTATTTTTTCTTGCTATAGGGACGAGTTTTGTAAATAATTGTGAAAAACTAATAAATATATGTGTGTGACAGACTTCAATTTAACATCCAAACAGGGAGTCCAGACCATATATTGGGGTTCTCTGTTTCAGCACTGGACTCCCAGAAAGTTTTGAGTTTCGCTGCTGGGAAACACAAAGATATGTTCGCAAAAACTGTGAAATTTTCTCTTTAAAATTTCTTTTTCTCAAAATCCACAACAAAGCATAATAGTTTTCACTTGACATTTTCAGAGAGCTCTGGTGTTATGGGACCTCTGTCTGCCTGTTTCTTTGTCTTTTTTCTGTCAAGGTGAAACCATTCAGAACATATTGCACTGACACACTTTCTGTCTGTTTCTTTTGGCAGCTGAATGTACTGTGATGGGCATTCCCAGTGTAACCACAAACCTTTCTGGATTCGGCTGTTTCATGCAGGAACATGTTGCTGATCCAGCAGCTTACGGTAATTTTTTTACAACCATATTAAAATACCACCTCTGAGTTAGGAAAGCAAAAAGCACAGCAATGATGCTGTTACTCCTCAATTTTGTGCTTTCACTAGTGCAGTGGGGTTCATTGAGGGAATATATTCAGAGCTCTGAATATCTCATTATGTTGAACAAACCATTCAAGCTTTCATATTTATCCAAACCCTTCCCAGGTTCACTCTCTTTCGTCTTCCTTCAACCTTTTGTCTGTTTTATCCTTCCAAACTCAGCACTCATACCTACGCTGGAGTCTCCCAGCACTTCCTTTTAATGCCTCTGGTTGCTGTGTAATCCTTTGAGCCTTTCAAAAGAAGCAGTGGAAATCTGCTGCTCTTTGAATAGTCTGAGAAGGATGTACTGGGACCTCAAGGCCAGTGAAACTTGCTCCCACCAAACATAGAGTAAATTATCATGTACACTGAAAAATAAACCCGTGAAAATAAAATGAACCTACTTACAAATAAGAATCTGCTCAAAAAGGTTTAGAAATGGTTCAAGATTGGGGTGTGGTAAGGAGGAGGGTAGCCAGCTACTGGTGTGTCAAGACAATATTGAAAACGTGCCCGTACTAGGGCCTCTTTCTAAGTGCCTTGGCTTGTCTGCACAATCACGCAATGACAGCTCCACACCAGTAACAACTGTGCCCTGGCCTAGGGGCCGGGATAGAGCCAGTTGCAAAATATAGCTATGCCTGCCTGGGCAGGCATGTCTTTAAGAGCCTTCAGAAAGGTCACAGACTGAGAGCATAGGTCACTTGCTTTTCTCTGCCAAAACATGGATGTGAGCATTGACATAACTTACTGTACATTCCTAGGGTACACCAGGCACTTCAGTTAAGGTAGCTTTGTGTCTGTCTTGTCCATTAAGATAGCTGAGGTCTAGTACCCTCTTCTTTCCAACACCCTGGTGTAAGGAAGGTGGCAAGAATAAAGTATTGATCTCGACAAACTATGTAGAAGCCAAGTTTACCTCATCCCTCTCTCTGCCAGAATTGTATATTGACTAATGTATGTCAGTTAGCTATCTCTATGGAAACACTTGCATTTCTACAGAAAACACAGCCTCTCTCCTACAGGCTGATTCTGACCATCCACGCTTCTAAATTCTACTGCAAACTAGGAAAGCACTAGATTATTTTTTTTTTAAGCAGTCAGTATTTTAAACATTATGGGAAATAAAAATGATATGTCTTTATCCAGAAATTCTTGAATCCTTTTGGACATACTTACGCAACAGCAACAAAGCCTCCAAATTTTGAATAATTTGCTGAGTCTCAGCCTGAAAGGTAAAGAAAATTAAAATAAAGAATACATATTTGTCTGCAGCTTTCTATTCCATCAGAATAGTAACAAATGTTCCAGTTATGGTTGCCTTCTAACAGTAAAAAGAACATATAATACATATAATGTTTGTATGACTATGTGACAGAAGGTAGAATGGAAATGTAACAGGTCAGATCCCATTTCCAATTCCACTCATCTTCACATTTTTTGTGTCCTTCAGGCATCTACATAGTTGACAGGAGGTTCCGCTCACCTGATGAATCATGCAACCAGCTAACTCAGTTCTTGTACGGATTTTGTCAGCAGTCCTGTCGCCAGAGGATCATCCAAAGAAACCGAACTGAGAGGCTCTCAGATCTGTTGGACTGGAGATACCTAGGCAGGGTGTGTGAAACTATGTAACAGAGGTATTAAAAATTGCAAAAACATAGGTCTAACTAGCAGTCTTCAGCATCGTGCTACAATGCAAGGAGACATCCCTGTTCTGAAAAGCACCTCTGAACGGTGCTAAAGGCAAAGCCTGCCTTTGCACTTCATTGTAATGCTTCCAGTCACCAGTGGTAAGGAGAGACGTGACTTAACGGAATAGGTTAGGGCAGAAGCCAGTCACACTGAGGTCTTTGTACTCCTCATGCTAAAGACAATGTAAAAAGCTTGTGTCTCTGACAACACTGGCAACCCTACACTAAGTAGGATTTCTACTCCAAAATCATCTGGACTCTTTCAGAAACCCTACCTGTTCTTCCTACAATGCTGCTGGGCCTTGTGGCTCCGCAGCACTCCTAAACTACCTCTGTGCCTTAAAGGCAAAATAGTGTTTTTTGATTTGACATAGCAAACACTGCAGTACTACCTACTAAGAAGACAGTGCAAAGCAGCATTCTCAAGTCCACATGAGCAAAGAAGTGGATGCACATGTATCAGTTTTGTAACTATTTTGGACCTTGTCCTGCTCTGATACCTGTGTGAGAACCTTTTGTGTTTATATGGTTCCCAACACAGCAAAAGACCCTGACACAACAAGGCATTATTTCCATGCATGTGACGGAGACTCGTGAATATAGTGGATCCATATTTTTGCCAAATTATTCAATACCAGGCCTCTAAATTAATGAATGTTACTTCTCTGTAACTGCTGCATATGCTTCCTACGCAAGGATGAGTCCAAAGTTTATGTGTAACACCTGCGCACTTAAATATGTATATTTTCCTGGTTAAAAAAGAGCCAATTCTGTCTTGAGAGACAAAGAATACTTATCACTCAATAAGAACTACACTGACTGAGACAAGTGCTGGTTTCGATCTTAATACATCTTGTCTTACAGAAACCTTATTCAGCTTCTGTTCCAGACTCTACTTCAGCGTGAATCTAACATGAATGGCTCACTACTTCACACAATGTGTTCGTTACAAGCAGTGATATCAGTTGGATTCTCCATAGCTGAAAACATGTTTAGTCTTTGTTCAGCATCATCTTTTAGAAGATACTCATTTTACGTTCCTTTTTTTCCTGCTTAAATCTACCCAAGACTTCCTTGACTTGTAAAGGCTTCTCTCTTATGTTGCAGTATTACATGCATGCCAGACATTTGGCCCTCAGCAGAACATTCCCAGATAAATTTGAGATGGAACCAAGTGCTCCACCAAAGGTAAAGTCTTCTTTTGGAGATGAGTTCATCTGCATTTTAGCTGCTTTACAAAGAGAGAGAGAAAAAGTGCGTGTGGCAGAAAAAGAGAGAAGAGAGTTAGCAAATTTTGTTTTAATTGAAGGGAAATAGGAACTCATAGTTAAAAGCTCAACAAGTTATAGACCCAAGCTCCAGTCAGGAGTTGTAATGGTATCAGATGCAAACACTAGGGGTACCAGGTGCAATACAGGATCAGTTCTTCAGGTCTTTTAGAGAGACCTGGGTGGGACTATGCCACTTTAGACCAGCTGAGGAACAGGCCCTTGGAATTTGTATTAGAAGACTGGCAGCTTCTAATTTTGCTTCTGATAGATGCCATGGAGATGTTCTGCACAAACCAGATAGAAGGGGAGCTGAGAAAGGATGTTCTAGGGAAAGTGATGCAAAGTATTGCCTTCATCTAAACATGGTACGTGAGGAGGATGCTGTGGCTGGAACTGCAAGGGGTCAGTTTAAAAGCACACCATCAAATAGTTCTTGCATAATGCATATTAGCACCAATTTGAGAAGGGAGGCTGCTCGGATCCAGCATAAGAACAATGTCATTTGAAACCAAACCTCCAGACGCTTCCAGAGAGCAACTCATTTTTTTAAATACGAAGGAGAAAGGAGGCTCAGGCCAAAACCCTTTGCTTGCTTCTTGTTTTGCAGATACTGACACTGTAACTAGATAACTGTTTTAAAACTTCAGACTGAATTCTGAGTTGTAAGCATATTCTCACTACAGAGTACAGAAGGATTTTGTGTTGTGCTCACGGTATTAAGCCTCAATTAAGATAGTCATATTTTGCAGAAAGCAGTGCTGGAAGGGCAGTATATTGTTTATGGCACAGCTGAAAGATCACTGCCATACAGATGTGTGCTTACCAGCAGAGAAGAACTGAGGAGATCTGGGTTCAGAGGAGTTTAATTTTAGAGTGCACAGCAGGTCTAGCTTACATGATGCCATTGGTTTCCTCTGAAGCATTGATAGCCTTAAATTGCTCTATACAACCAATTGATGAACACTATGATAATATATACAACTTGCTTCTCTCTCTGCCAGACGGAAGGTTTCAGGTACCCCAGGCCTTCATCAGTGCCACCATCACCTTCTGTCTCTCAGCATTCCAGCCCTCACCATAGTGAAGGCGAAGATGAAGATGAGGATGAAAGATATGATGAGGATGAGGAAGCTGAAAGGGATAGGCAAAACATCAAGTCTCCCTTTTCTCTTGGAGTATTGCCGCAAGGAAAAAAGAAGCAGCATGGAGAATACAGGAACTGAATTCGTTGCTCTCACCCTGGCAGGGTCTCTCCATGCATTCAACAGTTTCTCCTGTAGGCTTGGCAAGATTTGTGTTAAGGAGAGTGTGATATAATTAGAGGAATCTTAAATGTTACTTAAGCTGCACTGTTGGAAAGCCTAATATTATTTCACCTTGAAAGTAGTTTAAATGACAATTCTTCTGAGCCCCTTTGAGGTAGAAGAGATTTCTCAAGCTTAATAAACCTAGAGAATGCAACAGTCCCCTCAGGAGCTTAAGCAAACTGCAGATCATATCTTTGTCTACATAATGATCTATATTAATCATAGTCTATACTGATAGCTCCATTATAGGTGTCCCAAATTTATTCCTGCTTCATTTATGTTCCCCCCTTTCCCTCCTAAACTAACATGAACTTTAAGCCGGAGCTCAAAAAATTTAGAGAAAAAGCGTTACACTGGGAAAACCTTGGCAGGGTTAAAAAGATACACTGAAAAGAAAATGGTCTTTCTTTTTGCTTATGCTGTTTATTGTAAGTTTATATCATTTAAAACATTTTTTTACAGCACACAGAAGTGTCTTGATCCAGTGGTAAAACATACTTCCTGTGGAATCATATAAAGCCTTAGGCAGTGGGCATTTGAATTTTAGACAAATGAAGTCATGTTTCTGAAGTCATTTAGACCCACAATAAACAGCAGACTGTTTATTTTCTGATTCCTCTGGTATGTCTCTTTTATTGTTTTCATCTTGTCTTAGATTCTAAGTTTGTTAACAAACTAGTTTGGGAGGAAATTCATGTGACTTGCTAAAGAGAATGATAAAATTTGCTTAAGTAACACCTTCCCCTGCAGAGAAACCTACATGCCATAGAGCAATGTGACAACATTCAAAGATGAGTAACTCTAGTTCTTCCAGTTGTTCCATTAGTCTATGGTCTATTTCACTACTTCTGAAATAGGCCTAATCATAACAAATAATGCTAAAAGAATTCCAAGAACACATCTGCCCCACAGACATAATTTGGAAAAGCACCTGAAACTTTGAAGTGCTTGAGGAATAACTGAATCTCAAAACAAGAACTAGACATTTCATTTGCCTTACACAAAGCGTTCAAAAGTATTTCAATTCCTAGAGATGCAGAGAGTGCCTGAACATGCTCTTCGGAAGTAGATCTTGACATGAACACTTTAGGAAGGAGATTCATCTTTTATTTTAGAAGTTTATGCATAAAGAATTTCTCATGCTGTTCAAGAAAAGATATTTCCAGGAATTAATCAGTTTTCAGCAGGTAGGACAGTGTGGACTTTGGAGGTATTTACCTTCACTGTCAATCCCAGGAGGAGCCTAAGTGTCCAACTTTGATTAGACACCTACCTTTCAAACAATATTTGAAGACATAGTTTTTACTGTAGGCCACATAGAATAAAAGTGATTAGGTGCCTGTTTGTATTTCTGGCCACCTAAAATGAGTTTTGAAATTGGACTTCCATGCTTAAGCTGATTTGAATACCTGAAAGAATAACTGTTCTCAGAAGGTTCAGGCTTTTATGGCAAAAACTTCACTGGATTTAAAAGAAGTCACTATTTTTTAGCCATTTTAGAAGTAATTAAAACAATGAGCAGTTATTTTTCATATGAAAGTGGTGAAAGGAAAGATACTGCGAATATTTTCCTTCATACAGTTTACTAAATGGAGAACAACTGCATTTTCTGAGTTCAGAAATGTATATTCTTCCCCAAAGTGCGTTTATTCAAAGTTGCACAGTCAAAGAATGTAATGGCAGAGAGTCCCAACAAAAGCACATTTAAAGGGCATATTGATTGAAAGTTAATGTCTTCTTAAAAACAACCACAAAAGTTATTTTGAGAAATTTGATTTTATGGCTTGTATTTCAATGCACTATTGTACTGAAGAAAAGCATTTCATCCCAAATCCCCTGTCATCAAAAATGCATTAGCATCATCTGAGATTGATCCAGCGCTTCCTTTGTTGCCTAAAAATGTCCTAGTAGCCACAGGCTGGTGAACATCTGTTTATCATCATCACAAACCCAGCTTCATGGCAGTGTTGAAAGATGTGATCACTACACACATATTGTAAGTATTGCTAAATGGTGGAGGCACAGCACAGAAAATATGGAAAGTGGAAGGTTTTGCTAGGGTTGCATTAAGTCAGCTACACTTGTTCTTTCTGGAAAAGTCCCAGAGGAGAAAAATATGCAACATGTATGATCCAAGTTGCAGGTTCTCTTAGATGTGCTTATGGCGTTTGAGTTCCCTGGGAAGAGCAGAGAGCTGCCACAACATCTCGCACAAATCTAGCTGTGTTTGTTTGTTTCAGCACGCTCATATGCGTTGAGCACCCTTCCGGTGACAGAAAGAGCACAACTTCTGAGATACGACTAATGTGAATACAGTGCCCATTCTTCTCAGAAATGGTCCTGCAGTGGTGAAAGTGACCTCTGCCTCATGCCTCTAGCCTTATTTTAGTTCTGCCTTCAATGTTAGGACTAGCCATCAGTAGCAAGGCGATCTAACTACAGCAAAACATTTCTGCCTTTTGAATTTGCCATATTAGAGGGAATGGCTTTTCATCCAGTCGAGGCAACAGATGGCCTAACTGAAATGCCACATGTTTCTAACAGTTACTGACATCTGACAAGCTTGGTAGCAGCTATCTGTTTACATCAGCAGTTATCTGCGAGATGATTGAAAATACTAGGGTTTCACAAACAGCTCACCAACAAGGCAGAATGTTTATTCTGTTTCATGAGATTTGTAAAGAATTGTTTAAGCTAGTGAGTTTAGATCAGGAATTCATACAAATATCAGTCAACTGGGGATGTGATTCGTACAGTTTTTGTGTCTCTGGGACATTTAGAGGCATGTGAATTTCATGGTAGTAATAAATCAAAGGATGCATAAGCCTGCTACTTCTTGTTTGAGCACTGACTAATCATACTGTAAAATATGGTCAAAAATAACTTAGATGCACCTGAGATATTCAGAGTATGCTTGAAACAGAAAGCAATTAAATTAATGAAAATATGCTGGCGGGTATCATTGGTCTTTAGGTGAATTTCATCATGAAGGTATTCTGTCATACAACGTATGCTGCTATTGAAAGATACATTAGTGCTTAAGAATGAACAAAGACATTTTGATTTCTCCAGTTATGTTCCTTGATGAAATGATATAGATTATAAACAACTCCTGACAGTGCCTATAGTCCCATGATAGAAATTAATTCCTCTGTTCTTTCAGCTGCATTTCTTTGTGTTGAGGACAAGCAAAACTGTAGTTAGCTTGAGTTAACAAAATTAATTAGCAGTGTCATGAGAAAGATCAGAGGAAAGTAACATTAAAAGATGAAGAGCATAACTAGGGTTAAAGGTTAAAAAAATAAAACATCGTTGCTTGGACACAAGAATCATGTGGCTAGTTTTTAATTACACGAAAACTACAGAGGGCTTTCCAGTAAGACCACAAAACAACATAAATCATGTTAAATATATCCTTATCAGCATGGAACGATAATTAACCAATTTATGTATAATTCCAGTTTTGCAACTCAAAAACCAAGCCAACAAAAAAAGTACAATAACGATGCAATTAATATTCTGTGTGCCTGCTGTCATGTGTGACACTAGATTTTTACCTAGTGCCCCACCACTGGCTCCAGCATCACTGCACCTCCCGACAGCCGTGGTGGCTCTATGCCATAGTCATTAATGTGGCCCCAATCCTTTAAGACCTATCCCCTTACTATCTTTATGTGGTGAGACCTGCTTAGTAGGATTATCCAGAGTATACATTTCTGCATGTAACTGGCCCAGCCCCGAGGTCTAAGTAAGTGATGTTGCCTATTCTCTGTGCTGACAGACATCTGAAAAAAAAAAATCACCTGCTTTGCAGTCGAAGACAGCTGGATTGATTTAATATCTCATTGACTTTATTCACTATCAGCAACTTATAGGGTCAGCAGTGAAGTGGTGAAGGAATCTACCTTTATCAGAAATAAAAAGGCTTTAATGAACAGCTGGGTGGAAGGTGGTAAAAGGCTTCCCAAAGACTATGGAAAAATTGTTTTTCATGAAGTAGTTGTCCAAAAAGACAGTTTTAATCATCTTTTCAGGTAAGATGGTACAGTGTATTTTAAATTTTGGGTGGGGCATATAAAATGGTCTAAAGAAAGCAGGAACTTTACAAATAATTTCCTTATCTGAACTAGTAACATTTAATCCGTTTGCATTCAACATTTTGCAATGTGTATATACGTCACCCTTTGGAACGGAAGCGAGGATGGATGAAATACTCTGTTTACACCAGTCATGATTTCAGGGCGTATGCAATACAAATGTTAAAGAAATTTGAAAGATTTCACCAATTTGATAGATTGTCTGTCAGGTAGCCAGGGTGATCACCGTTTTACTCTTCAACTGTAAGACAAGACACAATGAGGAAAAATAAGCTGTAGATAAAGGAAAGTTCAGTCAGCCAAGGTTTTCAGGAGACAGATGTGCCTCAGGCACAGGCCTAGTGCAATGAGACTGCTTAGCTGAGAGACGCAGGCCTCTGCAGAAATGACCATGTCTTCTCTCATTTTAAATGTAGGAGTTTTTCTATTTGCTGAAGAGCAAAGACACAAACCATGTTCAGAGGGGTATCTTAGTACAAAGCACAAATTTTTCATGTGGAAGAAAATTATGTATTTGGTTTTTATTTGCACATTTCTCTCAGTCAAGAGGATTCTGAAATCACCTGAAAGTAATCTTCTGAAAGTGCAGGGCTTACCTAGGTTTGACTGTCCTGTTATTTCCTACTACTGTGATGGCAATGTTATTCCACAGAGTATTTTCCAAACAAGCTGCCAGTTCCTCTTAGCTCTCTCAGATATGTCACCTTCTTTCTCAGGGGGCTATTGCTGTCCGCTGTCTCCTCTGGAACAGCAACAGCAGGCAGGAAAATACCACTAGAATTCAGAGGATTTTCTCTTTTTGTAAGCACACAAATAATACTTTCACTGATTTATCTTTGTCACTGCTCATATATTTTCTCCAAAGCACTATGCTCATTGTTAATTCTACCTTTCTCTCTCAATCAAAATGCCAGTGAATTTTTTTGGTTAGCAGAGATCTGCCAGGGCAGGGAAGAGATAGCTGAGCACAAAGCCCCAGCGCTACATGAGATACAGTGGGTGATTTTAGGAAG